TTTTTGTCCCTTTGATTAATATCATTTGCTCATTGGTTGGTCACTCACACATTCACTTACTGTCATCGAGTTGATTCCTACTCATAAGAGACCCTGTGGAGTAGAGGAGAACTGTCCCTGTGGATTTCTAATGCTTTGACCTGTGTTAGCAGCCCTGTGCATAATCATGATGCCCCCAGGGCTCCTATTGTCCTTTGGTAGATGGATTTACTTCTGAGATCTCAATTCTGTTCTACTGGTCTGTCTTACTGTAATTGTACTAGGCTGTTTTGACTATTGTAGCTGGGTCATAGACTTTGAGATAGGGAAGTGTGAGAGGCCTCCTACTTTGTTCCTCTTTAGTAGTGCTTACGCAGGGTCCATTTCCCTTACAAATTTAAGGTAGCAATTGGTTTTTCCATCCCTTGAAAGAACAGTGAGGAAATCTGGATTGAGAATCATTCTATCTGTAGGTCACTTTGGATAGTAGTGACATTTTCACAATGTTAAGCCTTCCTATCCATGAACATGATGGACCTTTCATATAGGTAGGTCTGTTTTGGTTTCTTGTAGTTCTCTTAAGTTTTTCTTTAGGTCTTTTGTTTCTCTGGTTAGATTTATTTCCAAGTATTTCATCTTTGGAGGGACTGTTGTAAATTATACTGTTTTCTTGATTTGTTTTTCAGAGTTCTCTTTACTAGTGCAAAGGAATCCAACTTATTTTTGCATATTGATCTTATAATTTATAAGAATAACTTTTCCTCCTATATTATCATTAGAAAAGAAATCAATACTTTTGGAGCAAGGAGACGTATTCAAGTTATCAAATAATCTTTGAATAAACTCTTCTCTTTAGGGAATATAAAATATAGAGGGAAGATATAAGATTATTAACAAAGTTGGTATTTAAAACTTTTTACAATAAAGTTTGACATTTAGTTTAATTTTTAAATAGTCTTTAAAACTTTTGTGCTTGCTTGGAGTTTGCTTTTATTTTTTTTAATTTTGCTTAAGACTACTTTAAAAAAACCTAAGGTTGCTAAAGCTTCTAATCTAACTGGTAAG